TCTCACTTTCTCTCTCTCTCTCACTCTCTCTCTCTTTCTCTCTCTGATGAGCACACATACTCTGTAGCAAATTTAAAAAATAATGATAAATAAAGTAAATCTTTTTTAAAAAAAAGATAGTAATTTATCAAAAGTAAACACTTTTTCCTCTTTCTCACAAACATTCACAGGATGAAAACCTCAGGTTTTCTAATAGTCTCCTAAGTCTATCCTTGGAGATGGGGAGTGTCGTCCCTTAGAAATTAGAATATTTGAGATACTAGTGAATGCTAAGAAATAGTCAATAAAATTTTGCAGGTGGATTTTATCCAGACTTGAGGTGTTCAAGGTTACCCTTTGACTAGTAAGCACTGATCGGTCTTCATGCCAATCTAAGGGTTGGACCTATAAAATGTGACTTTGGGTCATTATATTCATCAATAGGGCCATTTTTAAATCCTGTAGACTGTATGCTGTATACTATCACTTGTAGAGGCCACATGGTGTATTGTATTAAACATATTAAAGGACCCTTATACCCCAGTTTATATATTTTTAAGCTTCCTGAAGTGATTTTTAAGTATTGATTTTGAAATTATTTTATTACAGGTAGCATTTAATTTATGGTTAGGTTTAATTTCTTGAAAAATCATTGCAAATACTCAGGAATTGTTACTAAATAAGAAAATTTAACCTGTAATTTGTTTGTAATGTAATGAAATTTCTATAAATGCTAAATTTATATGACTAGTAGTTGACATATTGTTATAATAGATATTTAGAGGAACCAGCAATTAGCATAATGGGTATGTCGCTGGACTCCCACGTAGTCAACCGTGGTTTGTGTCCCGGACCCGGTGGCTTAAAACTCACGCCGGGCGCGTATGCGTGCGTGCCCAAGATCCCGAGAGGAAAATGGAAGAGAAGGGATTGCATGCGGCATGACCATCCCCCTTGGGGGGTGATTTCTCGCTTTCTGTCTCTATGTCTCTCTCTGTCTGTTTAGCCAGTGCAAGCGCCCTGTAGCAAAAAAAATCTCTCCAAAAAAAAAAGAAAAAGAAAAAGATAGCTATTTAGACATTTGTTATTTTGGATTTTATACTTTGGAGCTGATGATTTATTTCTAACCTGAAGCATTTTCATAATCCCATGTAAATCTTATCATCCTTGGGCAATGTTCACATTGCCTAGTAGACAAAATAGTACCATTCGCCATATAAAAAAATAGCTTATGTACAGTTCTGCTCCTCTACAAAAGAAGAGTGGTTTGGAGCATTCTTTTATTTATTTATTTATTTATTTATTTATTTATTTATTTATTGGGTTGAGTATGACTTTGGAATTTGTTTTAACTGCCCGAGGGCACATGCCAAAGAGAGACTGAGACAGAGAAAGGGAGAACGCACCTCCCACTGGGGTGTAGTGATGGCAATCTTTTCTCCATTTCCCCACCTCTCGGGATCTTGGGCACGCACATACACGCGCCCGGTGTGAGTTTAAGCCACTGGGTCTGGGACTTGAACCATGGTCGACTACATGTGAGTCCAGTGACATAGCCATCACGTTAACTGCTGGTCCGATTAGGGGCATTCTTGATCGCAGCCTGTGTAAAACATGCATTAGACTTAATATCAAAGTAATATTAAAGTAAATCCCAATAACCCAAAGGTGATTTCTCCCTGTGCCTGTTGAAGTGCCCTGATGACATAGTGTTTCACAAGAAGAAAGTGATTTCTTTTAATCTGGAAAATTAAATTAACAACCTATTACTATCTACATAGTTATGATACAATAATAGTCCAGTTGTAGTAGCTCAACTAAGAATAAATATAGGTATATAAATGAGAAAATCAATGTCTAGTAAATATCTAAGCTTCTGCATATAGACCACTCAGCATCTATATCAGGGCAATCAAATATTCTTTCAAACATTTATAAATTCTAGATTATCTTTTTTCTCACAATAGATAAATTTTGATGGCTCCTATCAGATACATAATACCTTATTACTGCATTATGGGTTTATAAAAAGTTGTAGAAAATCCACTTTGAATTTTGAATCACAGACTGAAGTTCTTTGATATAATATAGTCTATTAATAGGCTGCCATAACTACCTTAGGAACTTTTTCCTCAAGGAATAAAAATTTGTTGTAGGATTACCTGGTTCCAGGATACCTAACATCCTAAACAAAATCCATCAATCATTGCACTAAATGAAAACAAAGCAAATCACAAAACCACCTATACTAGCATTGTCAAACAGAAATATAATAGAAGCCATATATGTAACTTTAAATTTTCTAGTAACCGCATTTAAAAAATGAAACAGATAACATTAATCTTAATGTTTTATTTAATCCAGTATACTGAAAATACTACCATTTCAACATATAATCAATACAAAAAGCATTAACGAAATATTTCATGACTTTTTTATATTCAGTATACAGTATCTAGGATGTATTTTATACTTAACAAATTTCAATTCAGACTAGCCACATTTTAAGTGTTCAATAACCACATGTGGTAGTGACTATCATATTGGATGGTACAGACCTCTACTGTAGTTCATAGTTTTTGAACTTGAATGTATATCAGGATCACCTGGAGGGCTTGTTGTAACGTAGATTGCTAGGTGCCACTTCTAGAGTTTCTGATTTATAAGTCTAGAATTTACATTTCTAACAAGTTCCTTGATGATACTGATCTGGGGATCACACTTTGAGAACCATGGCCATAGTTCTTTCAGAATCATACTTTGGAACCATTTTACTCCTGCATTTATGTGAATGATCAAGAACTGACCCTAGATACTGTAGTTATTGTCCTTATTGTTGTGGAAGTGATATTGCAGTTTATAAAACAGTCCAAATCACCATTTACCTGTTGGTTAATACTGAGTAATTATTTATGCAGATGGGTATTCCTTCGATCTTCATTCATGTCTGCTGCTCTCTGAGTACTTTTTTCAAGGAAACTAAATAGGGAAGAACCATTCATTGGCTTGCTTGCTCTTAATATTTGTACAGCTGTATTAATACCATGTCCATATACATGCTCTGACTTTTAGGCAGAAAGTAACCCTTTTCAAATGACAAATTGTCAGTTAATAAATGAACAATATGCCCAGTGTAGGTTCAAGGATTTTACAGCAATTAATTTGATTTTAACATATTCCTTTGAACTTTGAAATACTAATTCAGTAGTTCCACTCTTTTTGAGCTCAGTGAAAAATAAAGAGGATTTTGTATGGTTCATAGTCCTTTAAACCATGATATGAATTCATCTCTGAATATGAGCAGATCCTGACCATCAAATTATAGATGGTTCTGTTCATTTATAAAAGTTGCTGATTTTTCCTGTCCCTACATGCTTAAATACTTCATTTTTCTTGTCTCATTTCTGAAGAAAAGTAATAATAATTTAATACCTGGTCTTTAAATTTTGCTTTTTTTTTTTTTTTTTGTCATTAGAGTACAAAAACAGCATCGGAGCCTCCTTTGGCTCCTCCTGCTTCTGAAGAAGAAGATGAAGAAGAGGAAGAAGAAGAAGATGACAATGAGCCCCCACCAGTCATTGCACCAAGACCAGAGCATACTAAATCAGTAAGTCAAAGGGACTATTTCCAAATGATTTTTTAAAAATGCCCTTTAGTACAGTAATGGAGTTGGATTATAGTTAATCTGTTGGTGTGTGTTGAGCATATCTCCTATGTTCCCAGAGCTAGAACAAAATTAAAATATTGGTTTTTGAGGTTGCTATCTGAGGATACAAGATTAGCACATCCAACAATTAGAGAATAATACCAAATAATACATTGATAACTGCCATGTTATTAAAGTTCTGAAGAAATTAATATAGAGAAGGAAATCAATGTGAACAAGGTAGAAAGAATTGCATAAATAGAGGCACCTAGATTAGAATCAGCGGGGCATGAATAAGAATTTCAAATGACTAGCTCCTAGGTCTTTCAAGAACAGTATATTTGAAGCTTAAAGTTTTTGTTTTTAGGGATTTTTTACTATAGGACATGTATCCTTGCTGGAGAGACAGAAAGTGAGAAATCATCCCCCAGCGGGGATAGCCACACCACAGTGCCTTCTCCTCCATTCTCCTCTTGGGATTTTGGGCATGGACACACACACACACACACACACACACACATACACACACACACACACACACACACACACACACACACTCACCCAGTGTGAGTTTCAATCCACTGGGTCTAGGACTTGAACCACAGTTAACCACGTGGGAGTCCAGCACATTAACCACTATGCTACCCGCTGGCCCCTTAAAGTTCTTTTTTAATAGAAAACTACTTGTCTTTAAAAAGTCATTTATAATGACAATATCTTGACTCTGAACTCTTTCCTGGCCTGATACTTTCATTGTAGAACTTTCGAATTTTTTTTTTTTTGTCTTTTAGATCTACACTCGTTCTGTGGTTGAATCCATTGCTTCACCAGCAGCACCAAATAAAGAGGTTACACCACCTTCTGCTGAGAATGCCAATTCTAGTACTTTGTACAGGAACACGGATCGGCAAAGGAAAAAATCCAAGATGACAGATGAGGAGATCCTAGAGAAGCTAAGTGAGTTCTTTTGCCATCATGTCTTTTTAATGGGAGACTTTCTTATAAACTAGAATGGGAATTGATCCCTTAGAAGTTTGAATCTGCTTGTAAAAAGACTTTAGGCTACCTGAAGTCTTAAGATAATAACTTTAGGACTCAGTGTATATGCCAGATTGTGCCCTCCTTTATGCTCCTAATAACAGAAACTATTTTTACTTGAAGCAAAATCATTTAAGGTAGAAATGTGACATAATAAATTAAGTAATAAATTTTGTTTTAATATTATGCCTCCTAAAGGGATTAGATAGTCTAATAAAATATCTTATGATCCTACCCTAAGGGTCTCCCTGCTGATCAATCATGATAGATAAGTCAACCTGAAAGCTTAGTGCAATAAATCAAAACTTACAACCACAAATAATATAGGCTTTTCTCTTAATTTAGGAAAATTTCTATGTGGGGAGGGAGGCAGAGCCAGTAAATGCTTGTAGTCCCCATCCACAGTGGTGTTAGTGCATACATGCATACTTGTTGCCCCAGTTTTACAAAACGCTTGCCCTCCATTTAGCTTTCTGGGTCAAGAAGATAAAGAAATACATCCTCTACTGAAAAATGATAAGTCTGTGAAGCATATTCATTAAATTCATATTATAAAAACATCTAGCTAGATTATCAGTACCGCAAATTATCAGTACCTAACTTATACTTCAAAATTCAACTCTAAAGTTGCCTCCTCAGGAAAGCCTTCCATGTCTCTCTGAATCTGAATCTGGGCCCTTTTTTATTTTACTGCATTTATTACAGCATTTTATGACAATTACTAGTCTGTCTCCTCCAGAATATACCATGAGCTCCTTAAGGTCAGAGCCCATCTTTTTTCCCCCTATATGTGTAATCTCTAGTAAGTGCCTGTTACACAAAGGCACTCAACAAATGCTTGGTGAGTGAATGAATGAAAAACACGAGCAAACAAATGCATTTTTATTGAGTTCCTACTTGTTTGAATTAATATACAAGAAGCTATGGGAGTGGGACCAGGAGTTAGCATAATGGCTATGTTGCTGGACTCCCATGTAGTCAACCGCAGTTCGAGTCCCGGACCCAGTGGCTTAAACTCACGCCAGGCACGTGTTCATGTGTGCCCAAGATCCCGAGAGGAGAATGGAGGAGAAGGGATTGCGGCGTGGCCATCCCCCCTGGGGGGTGATTTCTCACTTTCTGTCTCTCTGTCTCTGTCTGTCTTTCTGATGAGCGCACACGCCCTACAGCAAAAAACTCTCCAAAAAAACACAAATAAATAAAAAGAAGCTATGGGGGACATAATGGAAAGATAATTTTCTGTTATGAAGAAACTTCAATTTTCTTTGGAAAATAAGATGTTTGTTTTAATTTGCTAGAGAGTATACACACTCACTAGAAACAGAGAGAGGGAGAAAGTGAGAAAGAACCCCTCCTTCGGGGTTGGGGGGAATTGCCACATCACAATTCCTTCTCCTCCACTCTCTTCTTGGGATCTTAGATACCCATGCACACACGCCTGGCAAGTTTCCCAAGCCATTGGATCCAGGACTCCCAATAGTAAGTTAGCCATATGGTTTCCAGTTGCCTTCACTACCACACCACCAAGTGTTTCCGAAAGATGAGATTTAATAGGGTGATATAATTAGGGAAAAGTCGGCTATCTCATTTCATGCACATTTTAATCTAAAAGACCTCAGAAAAGGAAGAGAGCAATCCCTGCAGTAGGCCACATGGAGGCTCTGCAGAGTTGGTGGTAGGGCCATTTTCCCCTCCAGGGAGCACTCAACAATGTCAGGATTCAGAGACTGGTAATGGCTTCTATTCAATAGTGATGCTTCTACACATCCTCCAGTCCACAGGACAGCTCTCTTCTCTCCCCCTTCACAACAGATTATTAGTATTTAGGCCCAAAATGTCAACAGCAAGACATTTTGAGCTGGAAATATTTGAAAAGACAAAGGTTGGGGCTACAACTGTCAGTAAGCACCGAGAACTGAAATTGCTGATCTTTATTTACCAAACTGACTTTATATGATTAAATATGCCTTAAGCACTTATGTCAACTATTTGGTGTAATAACAATAATTTTTTTTTATTTATTGAATACCTCTCTGCTAGCCACTTCCATTCAGTATTAGGGTTCATATTTACAATAATGCCTTGTGGTACATTTCAATGTACTCAGTTTATAGATCAGTGAAACTAAACTGTGACAAGCACAAGTGACAAAGTTGCCAAACTAATGAGTGGCAGAGCCAGAGTTTCAACTCAGATCTGTTTTCTTTCAATACTGCCCAGTTACTTTTTTGTATCCCAACTGTCTATTTGTGTGAAAAGGAAGCATAAAAATGATGTAAAATAAATCAGTACAAAATATTTTAAAATCTAACAGTCTTACATTGGTAAAAATGACAATTATTTGGTAACTGTTTCAAGTTTCTATAGGTATATGAAAATGCATTTGTCACTTTGTTAAGTTAGCTTACAGAGAAACCAACATTATTTCCTTAACTCCAAATATAGCTTTGCTTGCAGCCTGTAATGGTGCTGGAACTGTGGCCTTTATGATTTTTTGTTTATTCTGTTCTTAACTGAGCAACATGCTGAAGAGAAGGAAGCTAATTTTGCTTATACTTTCATTAAGAATTAACTTAGTGGGTCAACTAGGTGGCATAGTGGTTAGGGCAGTTAAATCCCACATAGCTGACTGTGTGGTTCAAGTCCCAGACTCAGAAGTTTGAAAACCACACCAGCCGTGTGTGTGTGTGTGTGTGTGTGTGTGTGTATGCTCAAAAATTCTTAAAGGAAATGGAGGAAAAGGGATTGAGATGTGGTCAGCCCCCCTAGGGGGAACTTTCTCATTTTCTCTCTCTTTTTCTCTGTGCCTCTCCAGGTTAGTGCATGTACTCTACAGCAAATTTAAAAGACAAACAAAAAAATTGATTGGACTTTGTACTTGAGCCTTGAGGGAATCATTTTCCCTCCAGCCAGTGAGCACCTGTGACTGCCAACCTTACTGTGTACCTATAGATCTTGGCAGGAAGAACCTGCAGAGAAATGGGGAAGTGCTGCTCATGAAGCAGTTACAGGCTGAACTATACTTCAGAGTCTACAATATCAGGCTCTCCTGCTTCTGCTTCATTACCCTCTCTGTGCCGTCTGTCTGCCAATTATATATGGGTAGCCTTAGACATGTCATTTAACCTTTCTCTGTTTTTTTTTTTTGGAGAGGTTTTCACTATAGGGTGTGTGCGCTCACCAGACAGAGAGAGACATAGAGACAGAAAGCGAGAAATCACCCCCCCCAGGGGGGATGGTCACGCCACAATCCCTTTCCCTTCTCCTCCATTCTCCTCTCGGGATCTTGGGCACGCACGCCCATGTGCCTGGCGTGAGTTTTAAGCCACTGGGTCCGGGATGCGAACCACGGTTGACTACGTGGGAGTCCAGCGACATAGCCATTACACTAACTGCTGGTTCCCAAGTCATTTAACCTTTCTGAGTCTTTGTTTCTTTCTTATCTGTTATCATAACTACATTTTAGGTATCTGCCCATAGGATGGATTTTAGAGCTTAAACTATGGTTAAGAAGACACATTAGAATCAGAAAGATCCAGATTCAAGTCACAGATACATTACCACTGGCTATGTCACTTTGGGCCAGATAATTAACTTTTCTGGGCCTCCATTTCTTCATCTAAAAAGTAGGGATAGTAATAGTACCAATCTTGGGACCAGCAGTTAGCATAATGACTATGTCGCTGAACTCCCATGTAGCTGACTGCAGTTCGAGTCCTGGACCCAGTGGCTTAAACTCACGCCGGGTGCGTGTGCATGCTTGACCAAGATCCAGAGAGGAGAATGGAGGAGAATGATTGCAGTGTGGACATCCACCCTAGGGGCTGATTTCTCGCTATCTATCTCTGTCTTTCTGGCGAGTGCACACGCCCTATAGCAAAAACCTCTCCAATAATAATAATAATAATAATAACAACAGTACCAATCTCATACCATTATTAAAACCAAATGCATATAATGCAGGTAAATACCTCAGCAACAGTATCTGGCACATAGTAGGTGTCCAATAAATGATAGTTATTATTTTATTACATGAGTATAAAGGCTTAATAAGATAGTGTAATGGAATAAGCTTTGAGATGAGTCATAACTGGGTCTGAGTAACAGAAACAGAATAGCTCTATGGTTTTAGCCAAGTCATTTAACATCTCCTAACTTCAGTTTCTTTACCTGAAAATGGAAGTAAAGATACTACCTAATAGGGCCCACCTGTGGTCTGGTGGTTAAGATGGCAAAATCCCACATGGCCAGCCTTGCAGTTCAAGTCCTGGACGTGCTATTTGAAAAACATGCCAGGCATGTGCATGTGCATTCTCATAATCCTGAGAGAACAATGGAGAAAGGATTGCAGCATGACCATCCCCCAGGGATGATCTCACTTTCTCTCTTTCTGTTTCTCTGTCTCTCCATTGAGTATACATGCCCTACAGCAAAAATTATAAAAACAAAAACATACCCTGTGGTGCCATGACACACCACAGGACATTCGCTTTTAAGTTCCTCGTTTACAGGCCAGTAAACTTAATGACCTAGTGATAGGAACTGAGCTCAGTCATTGATGAGTGCATATAGTATAAATTATTATTATGCTACTTTATATTTTTTGGTATAAAAAATTGGGGCACAGGGTCTTATAGTGTGAGAATGTTTGAAACCAAGGATAATCAAAGATATTTGAGCCTGGAATAAAAATAATTGAAGGTTATGGAATCAAAGATCCCATTGGAGCTTGGGAAGGAGTAGAAGTGCCTGTGCTGAGAGGTGAAGGAGAGGGGAAAGGGAGGCAAAGAGATAGAGGGATGGCCAACATCCCACATCTCAGTGGACCTCACACACAAGCAGAAGAAGAAATGGCAGCCTCTATTAAATCATCCTCACCTTCTCCCTCAGGGATCCAATTGTGAGGGGGGGGGCAGCCCAGACTATAGAGCTGCCAATCTGTTCATCTTCCCTGCAGATACTGACTAGAGGGGTCAGACCAAGGGATCATTAATGACTGAAATGAAAAGATCATCTTTCAGTTTTACACAGACAGACAGACGGAGTCTGCCTTGTTCCTTCTGATCTGTCTGGGTCCTTTGGAAAACAAAGAAGTGTTTAAAGGTTACTGAAATTTTTCAAAAAGCACTGTCAGCAAAATTGTACAATGCAGAAAACTTGTTTCCAACTTTTCTCCTCTGGCCAATCACAATCATCTACTCTTCCTGTTCAATCCCCCCCCCACCCCATCCCCCAGCATTACCCACTCAAAACTCTTTTTCCTAATCCACCCTCAGATAGAACTGACATTTAGAAATTTTTTTCCTTTTTCTCCAGAATCAAAAGCCTTCATGATGCTAAAGCGTTAGGATAATCTTTTAATGGTGGAGTTCAGCTGAGCTTAATATGTCAGAGCAGATTTTTCATGGTCTGTTTTTGCCATAGAGTGAAAACTGTTTTCAAATATTAGTATTCAGTGATTTCTTAAAACCTTATACTTTAAAAATAGTTTGTTTCTTATTTAGGGAGTTGCTTTGGTAGGAAATTGTTCTGGAATTGCTAATTCCCCCCCCATTTCATTTTGGTTTGCTGATTTATCTCCCTTTCTTTCGTTTTGTGTCATAATCTTTTTTAAAAATTGTCATTTATACAAATTATAATCGCTCTGATGAAAGAGATCCCTTCAGAAGCTTATTTTGTGATTCAGAATTGTAAACAAGGCCTCCTGTGCACTTGCCTAACAGCAGTAGGTGGCAGCACACACTCTCCTGTGAAGGGTGAATGGGTGTGGGGAGGCCATTTTATTTGAACAGCAGTTAAATTCAGAAGCAGAATCTCATCAAAATGGTTGCCTTTAAGTAATCCTTGTGAAAGGATTTATTTCCAGCTGTTTCCCCACCACCACCCCCGCTTACCAAGGAAATAAAGGTTGAATAATTTACTACCCTGAGGCCTCATTAACTGAAGCCTGCCAATTGGAATTTGTTATAATTCAGAAAGTAGCTTAGGCTGAAGCTTATTTGCTTTTTGCTTAGTCTATGGAAAAGAGTTTGCTTAGCAACTTAATAGTAAAATATACTTAGAAGACTATAAAATGCTTAATAAAACTGTGGTTTCAAGACTTTAAATTGGTCATTTCATAAAAAATAAATAAGTAAATCTCTAATACCTTAATTAACAGCTAATTTAAATAAGGATTGCTCTCAGTGATATAGAATTCCATTAGACAATCATGAACTCTCTTATATTTTATTCAAGGACTTCTTTTTTTTCTTTTTAAGGTTTTTGTTTGTTTTTGCTATAGGGTGCATATGCTTGCCAGAGAGAGAAGAAAAGTGAGAAATTTTCTTCCAGGGCTATGGCCATGCCTCAGTACCTTCTCCATTTTCCTCTCAGGATTTTGGGTATGCACACACACATGGCTAGCATGACTTTCAAGCCACTGGGTCCAAGACTCAAACCATGCAATGGGCCATGTGGGTCCAGTGTCTTAACCTCCATGCCACCTATTAGCCCTCAAGGTCATTATTTATTTATTTATTTATTGAGAGGTTTCTGCTATAGGGCATGTGAGCTTGCCAAGAAAACAGAGAGAGACAGAGAGACAGAAAGCAAGAAATTCACCCCTAGGGGTGATGGACATGCACGCACACACACCCGGCATGAATTTAAGCCACCGGGTCTGAGACTCAAGCTGCGGTCAACTACATGGGAGTCCAGCGACATAGCCATTATGCTAACTGCTGGTCCCCAAGGACATTATTGTTTAAGTTGAGTCTTCTGAACAACTCAAGAATTCAGCTCAATTTTATATACATTTAACTCAACAAATATGATGGACATGCACGCACACACACCCGGCATGAATTTAAGCCACCGGGTCTGAGACTCAAGCTGCGGTCAACTACATGGGAGTCCAGCGACATAGCCATTATGCTAACTGCTGGTCCCCAAGGACATTATTGTTTAAGTTGAGTCTTCTGAACAACTCAAGAATTCAGCTCAATTTTATATACATTTAACTCAACAAATACTTATTGAGTGCCTGATATATTCCATACAGAGCATTGTGTGAAGAGCCACTAAGCACACAGAGATGAATAAAACATGGCTACCTTAACACACAGTCAAAAAGACAATGTCAGTAGATAAATATAAATATATTATGACTTGTTAAGTACAGAGAAAGCACAGGAGTTAAAGAGAGAGATGAAGAAAGAGAGAAAATTGGGAACCAGCAGTTAGCGTAATGGCTATGTCACTGGACTCCCACTTAGTCCACCGGTTCACGTCCTGGAACCGGTAGCTTAAAACTCACGCCGGGCGCGAGTGCGTGTGTGCCCAAGATCCCGAGAGGAGAATGGAAGAGAAGGGATTGTGGTGTGACCATCCCCCCTGGGGGCTGATTTCTCGCTTTCTGTCTCTCTCTGTCTCTCTCTGTCTGTCTGGCGAGCGCATGTGCCCTATAGTGAAAAAAACCTCTCAAAAAAAAAAAAAAAAGAAAAGAAAGAAAGAGAGAAAATTGAGGCACAGAGAAGGAAGGTTAATAAATTTATTCAAAGGGATTAGGGAAGGCTTCCTAGAAGATGTAACATCTGGGTTTTGAAGCACAAGTAGAATCTTGGCTTGAAGAAAATGTGGGAAGGACATTTCAGGCAAGAGAATGGCATGCAAAGAGTACTTAAAGGCATATGCCTGGGAATTCTAACTTGTTCAATGTTACATGAATAGAGAATTAATGGTGTTGGGTGGTGCTACAGTTGTAGGAGGGGAAGTCAAACTGTTAAGGAGGAGATGACCATTAACTACAATTAGTTAGAACATACGGTTCTAGTAAGGAAGTTATAAAATATGAGGAGAATGGAGCAGGAGCCAGATCATGAGGCAAGGAGTTTAGGCTGTACCCTTTAGGTGCTAGAAAACCTTCAAGAATCCTGAACAAGAGAATCACAGTCAGGTCTCCACTTAGAACATCCTGATAGAGGTATGGAGTCTGGACTGGAATAGAAGGTTGGCAAGAGGGAGTCCAGCTAGGAGGCTGTTAGAATAGCCTAGGCAAAAGATGGTAATAAATTAGGAATTCATGGGTTTGATAGGAAAGGGGAAAGAGGAGCATATGTGAAGACCTAAGCACTGGTTAGTGATACATTACTAGGATCCAAAGTAGGAAGGATCAGTGGTACAGTCGGTAGCTACTGAAATGCAGTGCTATTAGCCACTTGGCCAGTTGTGGATTTGGGTCCCCAGCTTGTTGACCTGAAACATGTTGAGCACATGCACATGTGCCCAGGGTCCTGAAGAGCTGGAAGACTCAGGGAAGGGGACTGTGGAGTGATAAGACCTTGCTAAGGATGCTTCTCTCTCATAAACATGAATAAAATAAATACACTTCCATCATGAATGAAATAAATAAACTTTATTTGGAGCACTAGTAAGGTTCTAGGTTCAGAGATGTATGTTTTTAAAAAGCCTAAGCCTCAAGGGACCAGCAGTTGAAGTAATGGTTACATCACTGGACTCCCATGCAGTCAACCATGATTCGAGTCCTGGATGTGGTGGCTTGAAACTCACGCTGGATGTGTGTATGTGCGTGCCCAAGATCCTGAGAGGAGACTGTAGGAGAAGGCATTGTGGCGTGGCCATCCCCCCCAGGGGGGTGATTTCTCGCTTTCTGTCTCTGTCTCTCTGGTGAGCATATGTGCCCTATAGCAAAAATCTCTCTTATAAAAACAAACAAAAAAATAGTCTCACTATTTTATGATCAAGCTTTGTTCTTCTTTATCCCCATCCCTATCCATTATCACCATTAACACAGTACTATTGCACAGTAATTATTCTATAGATATTTGTCCGGCAGAATTGAATGTAGCATGGTGCTCAAGTTTTTTTCAATTCAGAGAAGATGGTGATTTTATTAAATAGTATGTACAAGTTTTTAGATGAGTTTAACTCCTAATCTTCAATTCCATTTTATGAGAACTTTTTTTTAAGTATCAGGTTGTGATTAGTCCCTGGTTTTTAGATTTGTTCTGCCAAACGGCACCTGCCCTCACTGAGAAAGACAGACACAGAGAGGGAAAGTGAGAAATCACCCCCAGGGGTTATGGCCACACCAAAATCCCTTCTTCTCCATTCTCCTCCTGAGATTTTCGGCATGCACACACATGTGCTTAGAGTGATTTTCAAGCTGCCAAGTCCAGGACTCACCCACAGTCAACCATGTAGGAGTCCAGTCCCTTAACCATCATGCCAAATACTGGCCCCTGTCCTTGTTGTTTCTTTAGCATTATCAATTTGGAATATAAGTAGCATAGGTTATTATTACTAATTTAACAAATATATTGTTGTTTGTTATTTTAACAAATTGTATTATCAGAATAAATAATTTCAGTATAAGTTATAGAAATCATATGAGAATATTGGCCTAATATTTTGTTTGTCATTCACTCTGGCATCTTGTAATATTTATTATTAAAGGGAAATAATTCAATCAATTTAAATTTATCTCTCTCTCTTTCTTCCTCTCTTTCTCCCTTTCTCCCCTCACCTCTCTATCAGGAAGCATTGTGAGTGTTGGGGATCCAAAGAAAAAATACACAAGATTTGAAAAAATTGGTCAAGGGTAAGTAATTTTGTATTTGAAATGTCAAAATATGAACACTGGCAACATACATTAAGCTGCATTAAGAGCTTGAATTCCTGATAAGTCATGCATCTCATTTCCTAGATTATATTCGTGTTTTGCATTCTCAGTATTGTCCTTTGAGGCTAGCACTTTGCCTGTTAATTAATATGGAAATACATCCTGCTGGATCCTTACTATCACTTGGCTGGCAGTGAATTTTGTAGGAATATTTCGATCCCATATCATAAACTAACTTCTCTAGAAAGGAAGTAAGATTGTAGAGACTTTTAGCTTATATGAAACCCCCCTTGTCTCTGCCCTACCCCATCTATACGGATGATATGGTTAAGATCCTGTTTCTTTGTCACACTGGAAAGTGACAGAGTAAGGATGAGGGAGGTCCTTACCGAATGATCCAGATGTGGGCAGAGTTGACTATCTGAATACAAAGGAAACAGATCAATAATCCTTAATTGAGACAAAGTGTCCTAGAATAGTTGTCAAATATGAAGATTTCGAGAGACTGCTGCCAAAGACTTGATTTAGAAATCTGGAGTGGAATCCAGGAGTGTGAAATTCGTACAGTTGCTCAGATAATCCTGGTCAGCTAGGCATAGGAACTGTGTCACTAGGTGATTCACAATAGCTGAAGGTCAAAGTCATGACCAGTTCTACAGTCGACTATAATTAGGCATGACTGTCAGTCCTCAATAGAAAACTAAGGGAGAGGGGTCTTGCCTGACAGTAGGCAACAGCATTTGAAGCAGGGAAAAGTTTTGTTTATAGAGAAATGGAATGTGGGACCAGCAGGTGGCATGGTGTTTAAGGCACTGAACTCCCATGGCAATTCAAGTCCTGGACCAGGTGGCTTGAAAATCACACTGGACATGTGTGCATGCATGCCCAAAATCTGCAGAGGAGAAGGTATTGCAGTATGGCTATTCCCCAGGTGGTGGTGGTGGTGGTGGGGAGATTTCTCACTTTCCCTTTCCCCCTTTCTGTCTCTCTCCAGCGAGTACACACACCTTATGGCAAAAAAATAAAAGACAAAAGAGAGAGAGGCAGAAAAATGGAATGTTCTTTAGAGGTGCCTTAAGTGGAGGATGAGGTACATACTCAAATGCTCTAACTACTGTATTGCAAGAACCATGATGACATCCCTGGGTTCTCCAGGCTGAGGCTAGGGGCTAGAAAGAAAGGAATGCAGTTCATACTTAATAGACCTGCAGGATTGTGCTAGCCTATCAGACGTTAGTAAGGAAATGTAGGATTTCTTTAAGCACTTCACTATTTTTTCTGGGATTCTTAGGTTCAAGAAATGATATATCTGGGGCTGGATGGTGGCATAGCAGTAAAACTCAATGCTTTGTTAGGCTGACCCACATGGGAAGATTCCACGTTTACATTTGAAAACCTCCCTGGAACCAACAGTTAGCGTAATGGCTATGTCGCTGGATTCCCATGTAGTCGACTGCGGTTCGAGTCCCGGACCTGGTGGCTTAAACTCACGCCGGGCGCATGTGCGTGCGTACCCAAGATCCCGAGAGGAGAAGGGATTGTGGCATGGCCATCCCCTCTGGGGGGTTATTTCTCGCTTTCTGTCTCTCTGTCTCTCTCTGTCTGTCTGGCGAGCACACACACCCTATAGCAAAATCCTCTCCAAAAAAAGAAAAAAAGAAGAAAGAAAGTAAAACTTCCCTGAGTACACTGGGTATGCTTATATCCTCCTGATCTGAGACTGACTGAAGCTGGGGGTAGATCACATAGTCCAGACCTGTTGGGGGTCATGTCTCTGTGTGTTTATCTCTTTCTTTTTCTCATTAGAAATAAATAGGTAAACTTTAAAAAGATTTATATTGTATGTAATGACTATTTTCATGTTTTTTTTATATATTTTTTATCCTCCTCCTCCTTCCCCCACTTTTATATTAGTTCCTTTTGAAAGTGCCAACATATCTCAGAAAATAAAGGAAAGCATTTGTCACATATTTGAGCTAGAGGGTAAGGGGTACTTGCTAGGACTGTACCTGATGAGAATCGAGGTGAGAAGCTCTAAGAGGGAGAAAGAATTAGACGAGTTTATTTTTTCCAGTAGATAACAAAATGGCATTGCACTTGAACTTTTCAGGGGCTGAATTATGGATTTACTAGTGTTTTTGCTTCCTTTTTATTTAATATTACTGGTATTCTCACTTGTTCGCTAAAAAAAAAGATTTTTGTTGTCTCCAGGGGCATGCTGTCACCTAACAAGTCAAATAGTGCTCTACAACAGTGCTGTCCAAAGTACTTTCTGTGATGATGGAGTTTTTCTACATCTATGCTGTCCAACATGGTAGCCATAGACCATATGTGCCTATAGGCACTTGAAATGTGTCTAATGTAAATGAGAAACTTATTTATTTAAATTCATTTATTTGTTTAGTAGACATTTATTGAGCACCAGCTATACAGTAAGCACTATGCTAAGTGCTAGAGAAACAGAAACAGATAATGGTGGTATAGGCTTGCAAGGAACCTATAATCTATATTGATAAGTGCTTGACATAGGGCTACATAGGGCACAAGAACAATGATACAAGCCTACTCAATTTACCTAAATGCATGGCAGGGGTGGCTTGTAGAACCATAATCTCTCACATGGAGTTTTCCTTCTCAACCTCTGGTAGATTGTATCTACCTAAATCCATGTATAAACCTCAACTCACTTTCTTCATGCTTAAAACATAAATACTAAAAGGCAGGTTACAAAACACCATATTATGTACTATTTAAAGGGTTCAGCAAACAAAAGTTAGTATTTAGATTTTATTTAAATTTCTCTGGGTTTCTGGTACAGCTAACAATAAGAAAGGATATACAATCCACTTAGAAGTAGTGCTGCAGGTCTTTTTGTTGTTGTTCAATATGGTATCCACTAGGCATATTTGGCTACTGAGCACTTGAAATGTGTTTGAAATGTGGCTAGTCCAAATTGAGATATGCTATAAGTATAAAATACACACCTAACTTCCAAATCTTAACATGAAAAAAGAATGTAAAATATTAATAAATTTTATGTTAATTACATGTTGAAATTATACATTTTATATGCAGAGGTTAAATAAAATATATTATTAAAATTAATTTTACCTTTCTAAATAATTTTTTAATTTTGATTTCTGATTTACATATGATCATCATGCATCTTTGTGAGGTACAGTATGGTTTTCCAAAGTATGTATACAGTGTATAATAATCAAATCAAGGATATAGACAATTTCATCTTATTCAGCAGTGGACATTACATTATGCTGTGCACATTCAATAATCATTCTACTATTTTTGTTTTGGGGGGATTTTTTTGGAAGCACATAATGAATTGACAGTCACAATTTTTTACTCTGATGTGGTATGCTATTCTATAACCTATTTACTTGTTTACATGCATTCTTGTGTCTGTTAATAATTTTCTCCCTACCCTATCCCTTTCCTGCAGCTTCTGGTGTCTACCATTACTTTCTCTACTTCTATGCCTCCGGACCCTTCAGTATCCACCATAGAGTGTAGATATTCAGTATATGTTAAGTAGAGGCATATAGTATTTGTCTTTCATAACCTGGCTTGTTTCACTTAGCATTATATCTTCTAGGTTCATCCACTTGGCATCAAATGATAGGAGATCATTGTTATTTATAGCTGAGTAGTATTTCATGATGGTATATGTGCCATATTTTCTTAAATCTATTCATTGGTTGTGGGGCATTTAGATTGTTTCTATGACTTGGCTACTGTGAATGATGTTGTAGTTATCATAGTGTGCAAATGTTTCTCAGACAGAATGATTTACTATCCTTTGAGTAAATACCCAAGAATGGTATATAAACTTTTTAAGTGTAGCTCCAAGGAAATTTAAAATGTGGCTCACATTATTTCTAATGCACAGCACTGTTTTATTTTTAGGTTTAAGTGGGAGCTATGTATTTATTTGTTTATATATTTTTTCCAGAGTGTTTGGGTGTGAGAGGAGGCCGGTAGGAGAGGGTGATGATTTTGTTTTGATTGTTCATTGCTACCCAGACCTAACTGAGCCAAAAGTAGTATTGAATTTAAAAGGGGGATAAAGTAAAGGGTGGTTTCAGTTATCTCCCAGATACCAAATTATTTAGGACCAGCCAAGTGGTGTAGTGGTTAAGGAAGCTGGATCCCATATGGTCAACTATTCAAATCCAGGACCCTGTGGCTTGAAAAACGTGCCCAGTGTATCCATGCATGCCCCAAATCCAGAGAGGACAATGGAGGAGAAGGGATTGCAGTGTGGTCATATTGCCTCATGAGATGCTTTCTCTCTCTCTCCCTCTTTCTCCTTTCTACCTCCCTCCCTTCCTCCCTCTATGTCTCTATTGAGCACATGCATCCTATATAATTTTTTTTATAAAAATGATGGTTCTAGAAGATAGGTCATTCATAGGCCCAGCTCAAGTTTTCAATAAGTTCTTAGAGGATAAGGAGTCTATTTTATTCCTCCTTTTGTGCCCTTAGTATCTAGAACAGTGCTTTGGAACTTAGTAGGCCCTCAAAAATAATTTTGTACAGGTTCAGTCAACTGCTGGGTACACTTTGGTCAGGCTCAAAGAACTACAGAGCTTCCCCTGTCTGCCTCTTACCTGGACCTGTTTTTACCTCAATAAATATTTGTTGAACTAATAAAAATTTTTTTTAGCTCTCCCTTTATACCACCTTCTGTATTTTCATATGTATCTACATGCCTCTCTTACTCTTTCTGTCCCTTTGTTTTTCTCTCTCTCTTTTTCTTTGTGTCTTCATCTCTGTCTCTCACAGTGTCTTGGTCTGCCTCACTACTTCTGGTCCTTTTTCCTTTGGACATGTGTATATGCTGGATATCTTTTTCCACACATGTTGACTTTACTTTCTAACTGCCTATTTTCACATGCATCCTGTATCCAAAAGGTAACAAAGTCAAATTATATTTTTCATAAAATCAATATGTATTTTTAAAA